ATGTTATAAAATATTTATAATCATCTTTTAATAATAAATTATGTAAAAATTCAGAAAGTAATAAAATATTATGAAATAAAATTTTCCACAATATATATTGAATTACAATGAAAATGATTAAATTCAAAGTAATCTGAAAATGATAAACCTGAAATAAAATATGTTAAAATACTAGCTGTTGAATTTCGAAAGTTTACATTATCATTAAAAAATTTAGTATTGAACTTCGAAGGTTTTCAATAATGAAATAATACATATCAAAATTTAACCATTAAATTTTAATTTCGAAGGGTTGCAACATAATCAATAACTTTCAAAATTTAATGGTGCGATATAATTTCGAAGGTTTTCGAATTAATATAATTACTGATAAAAGATATAGTACTATAGAAAAATTTGCCAATAAAATCTGAAGAGCTGGAAGAGGTTATAGAAACGAAGAATTACAAAGAAAATTTTTTGATGGATTAGAACCTAAATGGTTAGAAAAAATGATGGATATAGGTGAGAATATAACTTTTAACAAGTTATCTAAAAAGCTTTCTAAAATCAAATTAATCAGAATGACTAAAATGAAAAGAAACAATATTAAATCTAATAAATCAAAACTAGTATCTTTATTAGCTACAACATCTTCAAATATAGTTTCACAATCGTCAACTCAGGATTTTAAAAAATGCTTCAAGATGAATTCAATAAATAACAAGAATTACTAAAAAAAAGTAAGCAAAATATAAAGCTGAAATAGAAAAATTAAAAACCAATTTCGAAACAAAAATGACTAAGCAATTTAAAAAAACACCTCCAACAATTCCACCCAAAGATTATAAAGAAATATATGAACATTATATAAGTCAAGGGGATCCTAAACCAGGTCTTAATAATAAAGAGTTATTACGTGAAGTTATAAAGTTTTTTGACCTCCCGTCAGTATAACCTAAACTATAATGATTACAATTATCAAATTAAACTGATGAAATAAGAAGTTTAAGAAATGTGATTATAAAAATTAGAAATATAGAAAATTAATCTCATGATGTACTGAATCAAATATATAATCAATATAAAAATTTAACAATTGATGATTATACATCTAGGGCTAAATCAAATCGAACAGGCTTTATGCCTCTTGAACTTATTTTCAATAATGATGATGAAAATGATTATAATAGTGATGATGATATATTTTATGATTCAAAAAAAAATAGATATCAACAGTAGATAATATCAAAATATATAAATTAGTAATTTTGTACAAATTTTTAATTGCAGAATTCAAACAAAATAAGATAGTCAATTTACCAGTAATTACTTTTGACAAACTTTTTTCAGAATTAGATGACTAGCTATTAAAATTACTATCCTCAGCAATACATAAAAAAATCACTAATTTATTAAATGGGCCAAATCACTTGAATATATGATATTGTTAACCTTATTTCTTAATTTATATATATATAATTTTATTAGTATTATTATATTAGTTTATTAGTTAGATTTCTTTATTTGTATAACATTATATATTAGTATTATTATTTACGAGTAAC